GGGGCTCGGCTATCTTCGGCTCCGCTCGGCTCTCTTCGGCTCCGCTCGTGACGTCACCGCGCATGGCTGCCAGGATGCGGGGTGATTACTCGCCTATTACGCGAGCGTTACGTTACCGCTGAGGGGTGGGAGGGGAGCGCTGACTCACCCGCCGCGTCACTGCTGGTGTGGGGGGGGCTCGGCTTTGCGCAACATGTCACAATATATTGTTTGCACTTGGGACGGAGTTTGTATCATTTGTCTTGTAGGACTACTTCTAAATTAGCTCGTTTTTCATAAATTTTGACTTATAATACCGTCAGGTGTTGGGTATGTCACGCGACAAATAACTTTATGGGGGTCTCGGATTTAGCGAATCTTTATTGGACACTCACACCTACACACCTTACACGCTTTACAATTATTATCACTGGCAGTATCACAATTACTGCTTCCGCTATATCTCATCTAATACTAGACTGCTTCCGGCGGCGGCCTTCTGAAGACGGTATTCTTGCTGTCTTCTTCTATATCGTATGGCGTCTAGGTTCCAACTGACTTGGCAAATTCCTTCAACCCTTTTTATAACCTCGGCCGCTGCTATGCAATGAACCCTCGTAATAACCGTGGAGACTCATCTCCGGGGAGATTCGGCCTTCTATACGCAACGGCTCACTGTTAGAATTGCAATACCGCTCTTGTTACTTCCTACGCAACGGTCTGTTCTAGCGTTTCCATGGAAGTGACCCTTCTGGATTCCAAACATGTGACAATACGGAGATAAAAACAATAGGAACATCACTAACTTCAGTTTATTATTGAAGTACCATATTTTTCTGGATAAAAGGCGCACCTTTTTCCTTACCGAATATCTCCCAAATAATTAACAAATTTCACATTTGCAAATAAAAACTGAATGAAATGTTTCCAATATATACAATTTTTATTTATAGTATTTATATGGTTAGTTGCTGGCTATATTTATAAAGTGTTCAGTAAATATTTGAAGTATCTTTTAATCTCTCATATTGGGATGAGCATTAAATTCTGGTAGTTACGACGGCTTAAATTTGAAATAACTTGCATCACTCAACGGGCTACAGTGAGTGTTAGGATTTATAGATATTAGGTATTTTTTGGATTAAAAACTTAAAAAAATATCGTCAGTGAAGCAGAAACGCTGCTTCTTCTTTTATAGGCGGACCTGACATATTTCCGTTACAGATTTACACGGCATCGCCACTCAAACATTCGGCGGCACTAGGCCATCCCTTGCCACAGTAAGTCTAAATTTTCTAGCAGCTAACCGAAATCTGACTGTAGCTAAGAGTGTCGACAGATGAATCAGTTTTAAAAGCGTTAAGCGTAGAATAGCCATTTCAGGGAACTTATAGCCTCCACATTCAGGGTCGAAGGGTAAGCCAAGCAAGAAACCGTCGATAAAGTAGCCGCCTGCCAATTACTACACCGTATGTAGTGTCACATATTGTACGTCATTGGTGTAGACCGTCTACCACGTTTTGAGTGCAAAGGCGATCTAACCGGACAATCGTTTAATTAATTGAATGACGTCTGTTCTTTCTCACGGATGCAAGTAAAAGAAACTTCTTCCGTGGACACGGAAACAGTACTATTATTTCATTGCAGTTCGTTTGACAAAAATCCGGGCCGAGGAATGGGCGTCTTTATTAGCAGTTAAATAACGATATTTATTAATGACATAAATAAATAGAGCAGTTGTTTGAAAATAAAGTTTTCACGGAAATAAATATTTAGACTTAAGATGGCTCAAGTTTCGAAATATTACATAAGGAGAAATTTCGTGATTTATACAAGCGAGCCAGCTTTGTTAGGATAGTGAACACTCAGTACATACGATGAGCTGGAAGTGTAGCTGTGACCTGGGTGACGAGTTTAGGTACAGAATGAGTCTGAAACCACTTCCAATACCGAGAAAGTAATGGGTGGATAATATTAAAAGTATCTTAGGGAACAGATTGCTGGAGCGTGAGGCAATTCAAGCAAGCTCAGTATTGGCTATTGTCGGTCTTTGATAATAATAGTACTGAACTTTCTTTAGCTCAAAGAATTGATTCCTTTAACATTTTTATCATCGAACAGAGCCATGAATTTAATCTTGGTCTTACTGACATTTTAGGAAACATATTTCTATATTGAAGAAAGTCGTCTTCTGGGTTTTGGCGCCGTGTATTCTTCGTTTTGTCCGACGTTCCTCCGAAACGTCGGACAAAACGAAGAATACACGGCGCCAAAACCCAGAAGACGACTTTCTTCATAGTCATCGCCGTGAAAACCTCAAAACTTACATATTTCTATATTATTTTGTATTTTATGATACAAGTTCTTCTGACCATATAACGCTTTTCATATTGTTGCGTTTATAAACTCATAGAGAGATAAAAATGACTGTCAGCATTAATAAGGAAATAATGTATCATACTTTTCTCTCATCGTATGAAAAAATAACATGTCAAAATGAATATTCTTAGCTGGTTTAAAGTGAAATATGTCACTTTTATTCAAAGATAGCCTATGAAAACATTGGAAAGACGCATAAAAGAAGTTTTACCTGAAATGTTTTATGTAGTTTATGGATATCTTTGGGGAGGTAGGTTTTTGTCTCAAGCAGTATGGCATTAAGGTGATTCCTGAAAAACGATCGCTTACAACCCGTCAAAGTGAAGTACACTCTTGATGAGATTTTGAACTTTAAAATATGACATACTCGTACTCTCTGCTTCCCACATACGATAACTTCCACGGCCAGCGCAGCATGCATTCTGGTGGCTG